CTTTCCAGGACTATTAATCATGATTACCAAAGGGGTGCTGGGCCGCTACTACATAATGGGAGTAAGGAAGAGTATGTCTTGAATACAACAGATCTCTTAGGGGGTTCCCCTTAGTGCTACTAGGGCCTGTAATTAGTTAAAGGAAAACTACAACAACTCAAGTCACACAAGACTGCTAGTGGCCCAGATCTTCTAGGAATGAAGGTCACCCCACTAAGCAAAGAACCATGACCAGCTGAGGTACTTCCTGAGGGCAAAAGAAACATGGAATGGGAAATAGAAATAGGTATGGCTATGGCCACATGATTGTTTGTAGAAATTGAGGTGCCCAGCCCCTGGCCAAAAACCTATGTGTGATTTTTCCGGCCCAACCACAGGCAGTTAGAAAGGCTTTTACCCAGCAGGCCTCACAGGGAAAGCTGTCCTTCCCACAGTAGACTTGGCGCACAGTCAATGCATTACAGACCTTAACAGGAGCTGCAGTCAATAACTCAGGTATCCCTTGCTAGCTATGCTCTTACACATATATGCATTCTTACCCCAAGTGCCTCATCCCTGTCTTTTTGGGACCTCCCACCAAGGTCTAATTCAGGTGCCTCTGATGAGGCCTCCTTATTGGGGGAAGAAAGAGAAACCTTAAAGACACTTCTACTCTGACTCAGTACTTTTCCACTCCTAGCTTTTACCATTTTAAACAGTGAAATCACAACCAAAACGCACAAAAAATGAGAAGAATATGGCACTAAATAGACCATGAAAAGGGTATTTGTTGGCTATATGAGAGCTGAAATAAGAAGGCAGAATGTTGCCTTGTTTGACCTCAGCTGGAACACGTGCACTGAGAGATGTGAATTTTTCACCACTCTGTACATGAATATTAATGACTGCAAAAGCATCATACGTATTATTTTTGGGGTCACGACAAAGTTTAGTGAGTAGGTGAATTCGCAGATAAGGAGCTTGCAAATAAGGATCAACTGTACTCTGATCACAACATTAAACTGGAAATCAGTAACAAAGATTTTGAAACATTTGCAAGTATTTATAAATTAAATAACACACTCCTAAATTACACATGGGTCAAAGAAGAAATCATGGGGAATCTGAAAATATTCTGACCTTCATGGAAGTGAAAACATAGTATTAAAATATGCACATAAAGCAGTGGTAAGAGAGAAATTGACAGCTTTAAATGCTATGTTAGGAAAAAAAACCTTAAAATCAATATCTAAGCTTCTACCTTGAGAAACTAGAAAAAGAACAAATTGAACCCAAAAGCAAGCAGAAATAATGAATAACTGAAATCAATAAACAGCAAACAAACAAACAATAGAGGAAAATCAATGAAACTAAAAGCTGGTTCTTTTTTTTTTTTTAAAGATTTATTTATTTATTTACTTGACAGAGAGTGAGCGAGAGCAGGAACATAAGCAGGGGGAGTGGGAGAGGGAGAAGCAGGCTTCCTGCCAAGCAGGAAGCCCGATGCGGGGCTCAATCCCAGGACCCTGGGACCATGACCTGAGCCGAAGGCAGACGCCTGACGACTGAGCCACCCAGGTGCCCCTAAAAGCTGGTTCTTGACAAATTTCTAGCCAGACTCATCAGGGACAAAATAAAAAAGACACAAATTATCAATATCAGGAATGAAAGAGTATAAATGATATATATCTTTACAGAGTATAAAGATATTGAAAGTATACTAATGAAATTGTATTATGAACAACTTTATTGTAACAAATTTAGCAAGTTAAATAAAATGGACAAAATCTTTGAGAAACAAACTACTATAAGCTTGCTCAAAAAAAAAATGGAGAACCTGAATAGCCCTATATCTATGAAGGAGATTGAATTCATATATAAAAACCTTCCCAACAAAGAAAAGTCCATATATGACTTCACTGGTGAATTCTATCAAGTATTTCAAGAAGAAATAATACCAATTCTATACACAATCTTCCAGAAAATAGAAAAAAAAACAAAACAAAAAACAAAAAACCTTTACAATTCATTTCATGAAGCCAGCATTATTCTGATACCAACACCAAGCAAAGATATCACAAGATAATTATCCCTGAGACCATTATCTCTCATGACCAGACATAAAGTTCCTTTACAAAATTTTAGCTGATCCAGTCAATTTATACAAAGGATAATACATTATGACCAAGTGGAGTTTATTCCAGGAATGCAAGTCTGGTTCAACAGACAAAACCCAATGTAACTGATACTACTAATAGACTAAAAAAGACAAAAATCATACAATCACTTCATTAGATGCAGAAAGAACATTTGACAAAATTCAACATCTATTTTCAGCAAACTATAGATAAAAAGAAATGTCTGCAATCTGATAAGGGCATATATAAAAAAGCTACAGCTAACACCATACACCCTACAGCATCAGAGTAAATGCCCTTCCCCTAAGATGGGGAACAAGTTAACAACATGTGCTTTCACCACCTCTATCCAATATTGTATTAAAGATCTTAGGGGCGCCTGGGTGGCTCAGATGGTTAAGCGTCTGCCTTCAGCTCAGGTCATAATCTCCAGGTCCTGGGATCGAACCCCACGTCGGGCTCCCTGCTCAGCAAGGAGTCTGCTTCTCCCTCTTCCTCTCCCCACTGCTCCTACTCTCTCTCTGTGTATCTCTGTCTCGAATAAATAAAAAATTCCAAAAATAAAATTAAAAAAAATAAAGATCTTAGCCACTGCAGTAAGTCAAGAAAAAAAATAAATGCCAACGAGATGGGAAAGGAAAAAGCCAAAATGTCTTATTTATAAACATTACTATTTATATAAAAACTCCTTAGAAACCTATAGAAAAAGTTACTAGAATAAATTTAGCAAAGCCATAGAATACGAGGTCTACGTACAAAAATCAATGTGTGTGTGTGTATACGTATATATATGGTTAATAATGAGAAATTAAAGTTAAAAAGGCATTATGTCCCAAAAGTATGGAGTAAAAGGTATAAATTTAACAAATTGTGCGCAAGATATATTCAAAGAAAAGTATAAAACACTGCAGAGAGAAATTAAAGATGACCTAAATAAACAGTTATACCCTATCATGATGAAAAGACTCAATGTTAAATACACCAATTCTCCCGAAATTGATACATTGATTCAGTGCAATTCCAATCAGAATCCTAGCATGTATTTTTGTAGTTATGGATGAGATGATTATAAAATTTATATGTAAATGCAAATAAACCAGTATAGGCAAAATAAATTTTGAAAGAGAACCAAAATAAAAGGGGCCATACTACCTGATTTCAAGATTTACTAAAACACAATAATCAAGACAGTATGACATTGGCTTAAGTAAAGATATATGAATACCTGGAGATAGGAAATCCAGATATAGACTCAAACATATGGAGTCAACTGATTTTTGACCAAGGTGTCAAGGTAGTTCAATGGGGAAAGAAGAGGCTTTTCAACAAACTGTACTAGGACATTGGATATTCATTTGCAAAAAAACCCAAAAAAACCCAAAACAAAACAAAAAAACAAAACTCCATCTACCTCATACCACGTACAAAAGTTAACTTGAAATGGATCACAGACAAAAATGGAAGAGCTAAACCACAAAACTTCCAGAAGAAAATATAGGAGAAAAATCTTTGCAGTCTTGTTAAGATTTCTTAGATACAACAACAGCATGACCCATAAAAGAAGATCCTGATACAATGGACTTCATCAAAATTAAGAATTTCTGCATTTAGATAATGAAAAGACAAGCCACAGACAGGAAGAAAATATTTGCAAATCACAAATCTCACAAAGGACTTGTATTCTGATATAAAGAACTCTGAAAACTCAGTAAGAAAAACTCAAACAAAATGGGCAAAACATCTGAACAGACACTTTACCAGAAGATATAAAGAAGGCAAATCAACACATGAAAGAAACTTAGTATCTCTGGTCATTAGGGAAATATAAATTAAAACCACAATGAGATATTACTACACTTCTATTAGAAGGTCTAAAATTAAAAAGACTGACCATGCAAAGCAGCTGGTAACTAGAACCCTCATACACTGCTGGTAGGAATGCAAAATGGTATAACCACTTTGAGAAAACAGTTTGACAGTTTCTTAAAAACTACACACAAATCTATCATATGATCCAGCCAATGTACTCTTTGGTTATTTGTCTAAGAGAAATGAAATCTATGTCCACATAAAGACTTGTGGATGAATGTTCATAGCAGCTTTATTCTGAACGGCCCCAAACTGGAAACAACTCAAATTTCCATCATTTGGTGAATGGATAAACAAATTATGGTGTATCTATACGATGGAAAAACACTCAGGATTAAGAAGGGACAAATTGTTAATATATGCAACAACATGGATGAATCTCAAAATCATTATGCTAAATCAAAGAAAACACAAAAAGCTATATACTAAAAATGTTCTATTATATGATTGTGGTGATGCTTACATAGCTACATAGATTTGTCAAAACTCAAAATGTACATTAAAAATTGGTAAATTTGTTATCACATAATTAGCATCTCAATAATGTTGATTTTTAAGAAATGCAAGAGGGTGATGAACACATAATCTGGAATTTGTGATGAACACAAATCTATTTCCTTGGGTGAGGGGAGGCAAAGAAGTTGTATGGAGGGAAGCAGCACATCAGTAGATGTCAACTATTGTTAACATTCTCAGGTTGTTTCATACATGTTCATTGTATTATTAGACATAAAAAACTGAAGGAGGGTTATGAATAACAATACAGGTAATTTAAGAACCAAAAATAAGGACTTGATACAATTCTGTACTCTTGGTGTCCAATTTACAGAATAAAATAGAAATTGGGGTGATTAATGTTAGAAATGATTTAGTATTAGCTATATTCAGAAAACTTCACTCTTCACAATGACTCATTTCTTGAGAGTTTGAATTTCATTCTAATCAATATTTAAGATATTAACTTTTAAAAAAATAACTTCATAAGGCCTAATTCTGAAGCATGCTACCGCTTACCCAGGGGTTCCACCAATTGGTCAACCAGTCCCATTTTCTTTGCTCTGTCTGCACGAATGTTTCTACCAGTCAGCATCATGTCAAAAGCAGCAGGTACACCCACCTAACAAGCAAGGAAGGATCAGAGTACAGGGGGAAAAATATCAGAGTGACAATTACAGTTTACAAGACAATTACAGTTTACAGTTTACAAATCATTCAACTGAGAATAATATTTAAATGAGGAAAGTCAAACCAGATTTTTTGCTATTTATCAATCAGTTAAATTTTACACACTGATACACATTTAGGTAACTTTTGGGATTAGACACCTCCAGTTGAAGCAAAAATGTTTGTATCTCTTCTTTTAACTCAATATGTAAGCTGTCTGTCTTATGGAATTGATAAGGTAGAGAAATAATTTCATGTTTCCTAAAGCTGTACATTTATATATTATATCATTTATATAATACTTAAAATTCCTTTAGTGGAGCTAGTGGAGACTGAGAAACCTGATAGTTTTGACAATGTATTTATTTATTTATTTAAAAAAAATTTTTTTTTTTTTTAAAGATTTTATTTATTTGAGACAGAGAGAATGAGCGACAGAGAGCATGAGAGGGAGGAGGGTCAGAGGGAGAAGCAGACTCCCTGCCGAGCAGGGAGCCCGATGCGGGACTCGATCCCGGG